GCTTCCTTCCTCATCCTCTTTTTCTGGGCTTTGCATAATGTTGCTTACCCGAAAAGGGAATAGGATTATGGGTATTTATCCTTACAGCGTGGCATTTCCCAGGTTCTCCCACAGCTGTGGAATCCCAGGGAAAAATGCAGCTGTGGCCAGGCAATGCAGGCCAGACAGGAGCTACCCCCATGACCCCACATGCTCCAGAGCGCCCTTCCTCCTTCAGGTCCAAAGACCTGCTAATCTTTACCTCTTTCTTTGCCCCCATCTCTGTCCTCGTCCTGCCAATGGCCGAGTTCACACATTGCCCTAAATCATGCTGCCTTCAAACCCAGCTTGTTCCACAAGCAAAATTGCCCGATTTGCGCTACGCACTGAGTCCCAAAGAATAGTGGACCAACCAGAGTGACAGGACTCCTACATCTGACAGAGGCGCTGGAAAATAAGCCACCTTACAGCTCCAGGCCATGTGTGAACTCAGTTGACGCTTCCTCAAAGACGTGCCTTCCCAGCGGTCAGTCAAATCCGGCGATTTCCAGATTTGCCCTCCAAAGTGTCTCCCAAATGCTGGTGCATGGCCCGTGTTTTCATGGAAAGTATGTTGTGAGGCTTAACTAAGTTCTCTGTATCCCCTTCGGTGTACAGGGAGAAGCTGGCATGGCTGGGAAACCAGGATTCCCAGGTGCAGAAGGACTGCAGGGATCAAAGGTAAAGTGCAAACCGCTTTTTTAATCTTCTACCCTTCAAAGAGACGCATGCCTCGTAGCCTTCCAGTCACCCCAACTTTTACCCGAAACAGTCCAAGCGACCTCAGTGGCCTTTCCCCACCGTCCCACAATAAGTGGGAAGCGAGATGTCAACGCTGGTAGAAGCCAGTTTCATTCAGGGGCGGGGAATCAGAGGACAGGGGAGGGGAAAAAGAGGTTTTTAGGGATGGGAAGATGGGCCCAAGGGGCTCAGCTGGGTGGGGCTTCTCTGCCATGGCACCTGCCCTCTCAAGCTGGGAGCAAGCAGATGGCATCGCCAGAGGGAAGCGCTTCTTCAGCGGGTGGAATTGCAGGTGAAAAAGCAGCAGGTGAGGAAGTGTGAAGGAAGTCTCCTTCCTTGCATATCTTGTCTTCCTTGGAGGACAGCACTTGGGGCATTTAAATGCACAAGATGAGGAGGAGGAGGAGGAGGAGGAGATATTGTCGCTTGGCTAAGAGTTTTCTCCTCCCCTGGCATGGTCGTCTTTTATTGGTGGTTTGAACGGATGATTTCTTGTTTTTCATCCTGACAAACTGTCCAGTGGGCGGCCCTAGAAATTTACATCAATAAGAATAAAATAACAGCAACAACAACAACAACAATAATAATAATAACAATGAGGATTATTATTAGCTTTATATCTGGCATTCCCCCTGTCATATATGTGGGAATGACCTTGGGAGACAGGAGGAAGAGCTGCAAGACTGGGCAACCGGCAGGTAAAAGGTGGCTCAGCCCACAAAAGGAGGAAGGGCATAGGAAACATTTCAGAAGGGATCCTCCCTAAGTTTTCCGGAGAGTAAAAGGAAAGGAGGGGAGAAATACTTTCAGGCTTCCAAGGCTTTGTTAATGTAATCTCACAATAAAAATAGGGTTAGTACATGATTATGAATTTAGGGTTGTGTTTCTTATCTGGACTACCTCCAAGAGCTAACACCTCCCAAAACACCAAGGTGGCCTGCATAGCCTTCTGTACTTATTCCCACCACCACAACCCTGCAAGGTAGGCTGATCTAAGGAACCCAAGTCCCTGAATGACAGGGCATCTGTAGGGGAGCGACAGAAAAGTCAAGATGGTGTCCACAACATGGGATTGAAACCTTGACCTTTTCATTTATTAGAGTTTTGTACCCCCACAATTACACAACTCTCATCAGCGTACCATATACTGTACCACTGGCAACCTTCTGTCGATAGGATGGGCATTGCCATAGGGTTTTGTTTCTATTTATAGGGGGGTCTTGTCTGTTCTTCCTTTTGGGGGGGCGGCCATCTTAACTGAGAGATCAAGGACAGTCCTCGATTTAGAGTAGGGTTCTTCAACCTTGGCACTTTAAGATGGGTGGACTTCAACTCCCAGAATTCCCCAGCCAGCCTAGGTCGGCGGGGGGGTCTTTGGGGTTGGGGACACCCCACTTTTATAGGCAATGGAGGTGGAAACAACATCTAAACCAACGAATGAGTG